CGCGCGAACCGCGTGATCATAGCTAATTAAGTAATTTATGGGCGCCTGGAGACCGTCCTGGAACGCCCTACATTTGCAGGGCATCGCTTTAATTTAAATAGATTAATTTCTATCTCTGCGTCCATGGTGCATAAATTTCAGCGGTATTTTCTATTAATGGCTCATTTGGCGGGTTTATATCGTGCGCGCATCGAACAATGTGTTTTATCGTCGTTCTGATATAAACCGCATGCAAATACTTATACGTACCGATGTACCAACTGCGGCTAGCCAACAGCTGCAGCCTAGCGTGTTTCAGGATTTCCCCCTCGATTGTGTTTACCTCGCGCGTCTATCTCGTGCGCGTAGCGTAATATGAGCGAGAACAATTGGCGCGAATGACGAATGAATAACTTGTACAGCGATTCGAATATTCATCTTTTTACATGGAAAATGTCCATTACAATAATTAGAACAAAAACTGATTTGCATTTCAATATTCATGTGCGTTTTTCTGCATACACACACACACACACACACCGTATATACTTTCTTATCACGTTATATTATTTATTCTTGTTTTCTCTCACGGACTATCGCGCAGCATGAATGACCGAGAAATCCAATCATCCGTGACAGCTATTGTAAATTACTTCCTGAAAATGGACCTGAAGCACATGAACGCGCCTTGTGCCCACGTGTCAATCATCTTGCGATCCTTTCAAAGCTCCTTATTCCCCCTTCTACGTATTCTTCAAGGTGAGTAATCGCACCGCGCACGTTCGATCCTTCCTCGGACACGTTCCGCTTTTTCCGTTCTGCAATCGTGCCCGGGTAAAGTGAGCAGATAGGCAGGTATTCATACTGCCATGCCGTGCTGGCGAACCTATAGCTGCGCGCTGGGGTACGCGAGCAAAACCGCATGACCTTATCTGGACAATAACGCTTCGCGTACATCGCGTCGCGGGCCACCGGTTTTCCTTCTTCCCTCCCCCTCCCCCTCCCCGCCCCCGCGCCACAGCGAAACTTTCGCGGTTGCGAATGCAATATAAGCTGTATCCGCCGTGCGATTCCGCCCGGTCACGAAGACGCATACATCCTCACCGGGCGGGGATGGCACACACAGGCATGCACATATCACGTCCATGCGATATCCTCAATCGCATGCCGCGCCGTTGGCTATGCACTTGCCATTGTTGGTGGCGGCCCGTGCGAGCATCGAACCGCGATAGAACGGCCTCTTTTCCACCTTGGTGGCGTCGCGGGATATTAAGGTCAACGCGAGCGATCGGGCGATGGAGGCGATGGACCGATTTTCCGCATAATTTCACGCATGATAATACCGCGGCATGCGGCTACGATTGTCTGGCGTGCTTGCGAATTTTCGAGCGTATCTCCATCTTTTCCTGGTTCTTCCAATAGGTCCGTTAACGAGTTTCTTGATCATTATACAAAGCCAGGTTGCTGTTCGACGAATATAATATTGAACGACCCCCGATCGCGATGAAAAAAAAAATCTATACCTTTCAGATGCACCGTTCGAGAAAAATTCTCCGCGACGGCCAACTCGCGGCAAAATCATTAAGGCTTCGCTATGATGTTCGAGGGACTCTCTGTCTATTTAAAGATATATATCGCTTATGTCAAAATAGAGGGATGAAGCTGAATTTTACAGAGATTGTGCACGTCCCATGTATAAATATCAAAATATGTATCTCTGCTCTTTTACAATAAAAATGAATGAAATTTTTATGGTACACTTCTATGACATCGAGAATTGCAATTACGGTTTTTTAAGTTTTTCTGTTAATATCTTTTTTTTCAATTTTTTAATGATTTATTTAAACAATATCAAGTACAAAAATGGGACAAAATTGCGATTTTTACGCTTTTTCTGTCCCAATGATAACATATTGTTTATGAAGAATTTCTGAGACTAGCTTTACACTGTTTAATCGAGAAAACAAAATTATACTACATATAGCTATATGTAAAACATCCTTAAATAAAAAGTGAAAAAAAAAACACGTATATATTTTTATGTTTTCGAATAATTTCAGTTAACTGCAGCACAAAAATTTAACGAAATGTTTTTCACCTCTGAACAGGTTAAATTTCAAATTAATCAAACATACAGAAATATATTCAACCATTAATTTGAAATTTAATTATGTATTTGAACACAAACCCAGTTATTACTAATACCACACCGCCGGATTATCTGAAAACACAGTCCGGAAATATAAAATACCTATTATTTCAATGTTCATATTACAATTCCAAGTTAATTGAATTATCGATACGAGGGCAAGCGTGAAATAATTGATGAGAATGAATGGGATAACACACGAGAAGAATATCATGTATCGGCATTAAAAATACATCATATCGTCTTCGTGCGACCTAATTTTTCGGTTATATGTTATATCCGCGCAGGATGAAAGAGAAACCGCGGAGTATGCGATATTTCGAGAAGCGAATGAGCCGCGTAGAGTTATGGCAGCTCCCACGACCGCGGCGAGAAAAGATCTTCCCCGAAGTATAGCGACCGTGACAAGTGGCGCGACACACGAAACTCCGTCTCGCGCTGGTGTCGATACAATATGGTTACATCTCCGTCGTGTCCCCGCGACGCGACGGCCGTACATCCCTTTAAATCCACTTTTTACGGCGCCGAGGGACGGCGCGTGAGATCCGTCAAGATGACGGACATTCTTTAAATTCGCCGAGGAAGCTGCGGGGCCGGGCACGGACGACTCCCCGAGGATACCGAATGTACCTCCGAACGAAATGAAATTCTGGTCGGCGCGCTCTCTTCTCCGTCCCGACTCTCTCCTCGCTCGCACTCCCCGCTTTCTCGTCCCGACCGTAAATCGACCGGGATGTAGACGATGGGGGGCAATAGGTAGCCATACCTATATGCCGAAGTAAATGGAGAAAGCGATCGCTCCGTGTGCGAGCTGCCGCCGAGCCGCCACCCGCTACCGAGCGGGACGATCGAGGGACGTAATTGGCATCGTGCAGGCCGGGAGTGGTCGATTCAAGATCCCAATACCGCGCCCTTCGCCCTTAATTGCGCGACGCCGAAATCGGGCGCGCGCGCCAGGAATAATTGAAATCACACGGGAGCCGGCCATTCTCGCTGTTTAACCATGTTTACGCGACATCGGGTGCCGTTTTGACGCAGGCGAAGCATATAGATTTCCCTAATTTTAATGGAAAGTCAATTAGTATTGGCATTGATATGCATGTGACCTTACGCCCGCGGCGAATTGCTGCGAACGGTGCGTGCGCTCGTTCGCGATTCAGCATTTTCTATTCTGTCCCTCTTTCCTTCCTACCCTCACCCCCCTCTCTCTCTCTCTCTCTCTCTCTCTCTGTGAATTTGGATCATTAAACAATCTTAAGTTATATATTTAAAAATTTTCTACCACCCCTGCCTCGGTTATATGTAGGCACATTATCTGTGTTAGGTATCAACGAAGTATTCAGTAACGAAGCACGAAGTAATCATTACAGTGGAAATTTCATGAAAATTAGATGTCGAAGAGATACGTCGCGCAACGGGTGCGTCAGCGCGTTGCTAAACGTGAGATATTAAATACACAATAATGAATTGAGAGTTACTTTGCGAGATAATCCGTATGTCATTTCAACTAATCTCGATTCCCGTGATTACTGGACCGTGGAGTCGATACGATAGCGCTATTTCAAATTAATTGCATTTGCCGCGCGTGTTATATAATTACTATATACATATTATTAAATCACGATCGGTATAATCGTCGTTATTGCCACCGACATATTTAATCGTGTGTCGACTAATCCGCAATCCTTTTTTCCATGTCGAAGATTTGTACGTGCATTCGCGTCCGAATAACGACGTAATACGCGTGATCGAAATTCAGCTATATTTTATATGCGGTATGCCCGAACGCAAATTGCTTCATCAAAATTTAAATCCTAAACAATACGAGATAAAGAGACAAATAAATAAGACCGCGACATTTTCCGATACCTCGTTAAGATATAGAAAGCATACGTGGCTTGATCCGAAAATTTGTACAAAGCATAAACCTTGACTGTCAGAGATAACGCTCTACATTTCGTAGCGACCTCGATATCCGATATGCGAAGCATATAGATAATAGGAGTACACGTATCGAAATGAAAAAGGGGCAGCGGTGCGCGCGTTAATTAATTGCCTCGGCTAAATGGCAGCATCTCGTCCGGCGCGTTTACCTGTATGCGTCAACAGATAAACCGGAAGCACCCGGCAATCGAGTCAATCACCGAGAGTAAAACCACGCGCGGGATTTATTCGTCCCCTTCGCTTCTGGCCGCGCGCCCGCGTAAAGTTAACCGCGGGCGCGCGTTCGCAAAACCTCTGATAAATTGAATTTCAATTGCGAAAAGCGTATATGCGTGTCCCCCGAAATGTAAATCTGGGGGACCGTGAGAAGCTTACCGCGGGACGGATAAGCGGTGCGAGCGTTCGGTGGTGCGCGCTTTCATGTGTATCTCGTCGCCTCCTAGATTACGCGTATAGAGTTCATCAGAGCGGAGATCAAAGCGCGGTCGCGGCGAGCTTTTATTTATGACGCATATTAAATTGCTTTTTGACAATTGTCAGCGTGCAACGCAACGTCACGTATATAAATAGATATTCTTCCCGTTGCGTATTTCACGGCAGGAGGAGAATACGAATTTCGAAACTGGAAATTTTTAAACTTCGTCACACCGTGCACCGTGCATCCTGAACTCTCTTCCACGCGCGCGGTATTTCGAGGGAACGCTCACGTCGTCGTCAACAGCATGAGCCGCGCGCCACGACAAACTCGTTACGGTATTAAGTACCCTCGGGAAATCTTTCTTTCGTGCCGCGTGCTTAACGAACGTTCTTAATGGAATTACCACATTTGTGCCCGCGCGGCGCAAGAATTTGCGGTTCGTTGTAAGTGGCAGGCCGGCAATTGAATTTCAAGTCGCCGAACCGGGGTCAGTTTATCGCGTCTGCTTACCTACGTGTCGAACTGGGATAATTTCTCCTGGACTACGTGGACGGTGGTGCGATCGTGTCTCTCAGCGGTCGGCATCCTGAAATCGGACGTGAATAGATCATTTATCACTGGCATACGTTCTCTCGCGTCGGTTATAGTAATAGCTATAGCAGTCCTCGCAAGGAACCGCGCGTGTCACGATCGGACAGTCGATACGCATTTTACGGCGTGTCATTTTAATTTCCGCATATGCGTATTATCTATGTATATAGTCCTCGTGTGTTTTAAACGAGATTAAAAGCTCGCGCTTTTTGGCGTTATCTAAAATTCCCGGGATACCCGTTCGTTTCCTTTGAGATCACCTCGTTAATACATAAGAGCGATGTAACATCGTCACCGCAAATGCCACTAAGGATCGTTTCCCATACATTACAACCGACGTCTCATTCGCTTCTGTAGTTGAATCTCATCGCGTGAAAATTGGAAAAGTTCAAAGCACTCGTCGCCGCCACTGGCGCGATGTTAAAGAGAACGAAAGAGAGGCTGGGGGGCGGGCAAAAGGGAAACTGCGGCGCGCCGAGGTCGAGAATAGAGAAAAAGTGAGAGAGAGAGAGAGCGAGAGAGAAAAAGCAAGAGAGAGAGAGAGAGAGAGAGAAAGGAATAGAACAGGGAAAAAGCGCGGATGAGAGAAGCCGCGGGAGATATTGTTTCCGCGGCGCAGAGCGATTGCGTTCGATTTTACGGGACGCGGCAACTCGCGCGGAACGAATCTATTGTGCGGAGAGGAGTTAAATCGTGTACCGCCGCGGATTTAATATGCGCGAATGCTGCGACCGCTCGTGTTGCACGTTGCGCCGCATACCGGCTGCCCGATACCGGGCGTGCCGGTCAATTTTAATCGGCCGCCGCGCCGCGCGCCGTGCCGGCCGTAACCCCCTGAAGCGAAAACGGGAGTCGCCCGAAGTTCCGCGTTTACATTAAAGCCAAACCGGATGTTATCCACCGGCCAAGACGCGCCCTCACCGGCTCACTTTTAACTCGTAAATGTTTGCGCTACCGCGAACCGCCCCAAGATAAAGAAGCTACTTTGTTCCCTTTTACGCAGAAATTATACGAGATATCGTTATACTACACTTCACGCAGCTTTTTCCGTGAACCTGTATAATATACAAATTCATATTTAAAATGTGCAGATGTTTTACAAGCTGTTGAAAAAAAAGATGCAATTTCTTGCACCGGTTCTCCGCGCATTACTTCGCGATAAATTTTTTATACATTAATTAAATCCGTTTTTTATTGTACCTACTGACATCGTAATACGTGCACATTATGGGGGTAGAGGGATTGAATCTGACATCTGAAACTTGTTAACTTGACACAAAGATCCAATGATATTTTCTGGCGCCAGCCCGCTTAAATAATCACAAAACATTCACTTAGCGTCCATTCGAAATGATGTGAGATTCATTCATAATTTGGTTTTAACATTTTTTTTTTATTAAGCGGTATCCATAATTAATGTAGAGAATCTAAGCCAATTTTTAGTACTTTTTGAATTAAAAAAAAAAACCTAAATTTGAAAAAGTTATAGCTTGCTAAAGTTTCTTTGATGACGGCAACTTCAAAGGGTATGACGTCATTTCTTATATAAGATATGACGTCACAGCACATTTTCGTGTACTATATTTTCTTCAATTTTGAAGATATTGCAAAAATTCAAAAAGTTTACAAAGAAAGTATGCCATGATCCATCAGACCGTTTAATAAAAAAAATTTATGTTAAAACCAAATTTATGCTCTGCGTTATATGTACAACGCAACAAAGTTTGCGCGACTCAAATCGAAGCTGCATCCCATTTTCTGAAAATCAGAATAAAAATATCGGGGCAAGGAAAAGACAAGAGGTAGATAAATCTATTTCTGCTCGCTTGCTCACAAAGTTGCCTCTTGTAAGGAATCGCGGGTAATTGTCAGTAACTAATTATTCGTGGATGTCCGGCTTCAGTCAGTCCGTTGGGAGATACGAAAGGTTCCGCCGTGTGGAAGCCTTACTCCTCTTCCGTCGTCAGTCCCCCTCGCGCTGGTTGGCGTGGGCTTCGGCGTCGCGGTGATGGTATTTATTCGAGACCTGTCGGCGCCTTTTTACGTTGGGCCACAATTAACGTCGACAACCACCGTTACCGTCAATATATTTATCAATTAACTTGCGAATATGATGGACGCGACGCGTCAGACTGGTCGCGGTTTGCGCGCGCGGAATATAGGCGAGTCGCGCGAAATCGATAGGAACGAGCGTGGTTTTCCGAGTCGGGGCCATGCACCCTGGGTGGGTTATACGTGCCTCCTCCAAGTTCGATGAAAAATTTATGAAGAGTCGGATTTACGAGAAGGCGGCGCCGGGCGAGCCCGCGCGCGCTTGACGCGTGACGATGGGAACGATGACGGTGGCGCGCGAGAGTGCAGGCTGAGAAGAGAAAAACGTCGGCGTACGAGGAACACAAAATTCTCCTCGTGCCGTCGTTGGCACGAGGAGAGACGATGGAATTTTTATAACGACACGTTTTGCGCCCGGGATTATTTTAGGGACGTTTCCCCCGCAGGAATTGAGCGCGGATGAGGCGCGCGCACGCGCTTCTGCGAGAGTACTCGCGAGAACTACTGCCGGAAATGAATTCGCGCGTCGACATCACATACTTACTTTCGGCATTCTTTTTTCATGCTACACGGTGGCTCGCTAATGTGGAAAACATGTCGTGGAAACTTGCGTGTATGGAAGTGTATTACTTTCGGTTACTTATCGACGAGACGATCGAGGAGATGCGTGACGTGCTTACAAAGCCGCGATGAAGGATTTTTCATGCACCCGATAATTGCATTTCCATCTTTTTCAGTGTTGTCGAAACGTGTTGCAAACGCGAAAGCGTAAACACGAAGCTTCGAGAGATAATCGATAAAACGCGAATTCGATTATCTTCCAATTGGTGAAAAACGAAACGCCATATAGAGAGTCAGTTGTTGGAAAAATGTCAAACTGATCGGATTGAATGAGTATTTCAATTGTAATTTACAATTTTGATTCAAAATAGTGCGCGCGCGAACAACCGCGAAACTACAAGGGATAAAATGGTAAATTCGGTCTATTTTTTTTCTATGAAATACGATACAGGTCAATTGAAAAAAACATGTCGAATTGATCGGAATGAATGTCTATTTAAACCGTAAATGTATTTTTTATCAAGATAGGATTTAATTTTTGTATTTTATACGTATAAGGAATCTTCAAATAGCGATAAGCATATTGATGTAATGTAATTGTTAATATAACAATGGATAATCGTTTGGTCAAAACGTATCGACACGTGACATTGATTTAAAGATCATATCTTTTATAGTCAGTGCGATATAAAACCTGGCGCTCGTAAATTCATAATGCACGGCTATTCGAAATAACTCAGTTGCATGAATAATGTAACGTCCGATAAATTCTTCCTAGCGTATCCCGTATAAGACATTAAGGTGTTAACATGACAGACCGATACGGTTTTACGATACGGCGGAAAAACAATACACGCGCGTTTGATCGATTCGTCATTCTGGATTATAAAAGCACCAGTTGCGAGAACTGCTCGAGCATCGATTCTTTTTTGGTCCCGCCGCGCCGCGCCGCGCCGCACCGCGCGATCTCGTTTTAGCGCTGTACATACAGTACTGTACACGCTCTGGTATACACCTTGAGGATTTCGGGATTATCCCAAATCCTTTGTTGCCCTGGAAGCAAAAGGATTTCTCGAGGACCGGGCCGTCGACCTAGGCACCCTTCAAAGGTTGCAATGAGGTCTCTGCAATCTCTCTCGGAGCACCTTAGCCTCTTTCGACCCCTCCAATAACACTGAAATAACGTCCTTCACGTACCGAGTGTCCGAAAATTTGTGGACCAATTCGACGGTCAAGATAGAATCGATATGAAAGACATGGGACAGGTATGACGCGCCGTTCAAGATTGATTGCAACGTCCGCTGGTCGGAATTAAGTTTCGTTCGGGGTATTGAGATTCGGAGGAAATCTCTCATCGAAGAACGAATCAACCTCAGTGGGGACGCCGGATAAGAACCTGAGTTACATTAAATACCGGAACACTTAATGGTGTGCGGAGATAGAATCTTCGCTATGAATGAGCCTTGTGAAGCGACGCGACTTCCGCTGCGCGACGATTCTTCCGCCACATTTATCCCATCGTCGTGATATATATATATATATAACGAGACAGCCGTGTCTCTCCGCTATTGGCCACCATTATCTCCTAATCACGCGGCCTACAGATACGACCATTAAAAGGTATTACGATCGTAACGTGTACGTGTAACGTTCATTGCGACGCGGGCGCGATCGAGGGCCTCGATACCACAGCTGAGTTCTCGTCTTGTCATTTGATACGCCTTATCGCCGCCCCGGGCTAACAATTATAGGACAAAGGGCTCGAGAGAGAGATCTGTGCGGTTCGACGCGATCTCCAGTTCGGGGGGAGGTTAACCGGAGCGCGTTTCGTCATTGTTTCACGGTGAGGATGGACTCTCATTGTTCTCGCGCGAACTCTCGACCGGGGTTATGCGCTTTCGGGGGGCGAAGGTAAACGCTTCCAGGGACCTCCGGGTCCCGCGTAACCCGGGGAACTTGGATGTGGGTGTCTCTGATGGTCGAATGGACGAGGTGTCTACCTCAAACCTCCGTGTCCCGTTGCGTACCTCATTTGTAGCCGCCCTCGTACGTACACATATAGGTCAGTACTCTCGAGATACGAAATAGCGCCGGCGGCGAAGCGTGGTACTGAATTATTGAATCACTATAGCCCGGCCCATATCATCGTGGCGCAGTAACAAGATTGTACATCCGCCATTACGCTTCCCGTCCGGATAAATAGCGGTGGACCTGGCCATCTGGAATCACCCTGGGTGAGCGGACCACTCCTGGATATCAGATCGAGAACCCCGATTGCGCGAAACGTTCGCTTTGATTGCGATGATCTATGAAAGCCGTTGCGTTAGATCACGATTGTAACAACCCGGAGGTTTCGCATTTCCCGTCGTAGTTGTCAGTGCCCGCGACAGATGGATGCTGACAGCTACTGATGACCACTAATGGCCATAGTAATTTTACACCGTATTAAAACGCGATTTCCCAAGTATCTGGCGATTAAGAAAATGGACAAGAAAATAAATAGCGGAAAATGGGTGTGGGTAACGAGTTTATTCTGGAGATTAAAAATTAACATTTATGAAGAACGTTCTTAAACAGATCTAGGAACGGGATAAGGATGGCTGTGAGGAATCGATGACGGTACATATCGCGTGCAATCGCGATGCCGTGAGTTGCTGCATTAGAGTGGAATTTAAAGAAAATATCGCAGTGTTTGCGCTGCTGATTTTAAGGAAGCATCGTCGTCGCCTGTCGATATCTACGTTTCGTAAACCAACATCATTCGCCTAGATTCAACAACGAGTACAACAATCGCAATGTGTTTTTTTTTCTTTACGTATATAATCAGGACTCGTTTAAAATTTTCTTAAATGTATAGTTTAAGTAAATTAAGACACAAAAATCTAATTTAGATAATTTACATAAAAGCTATTAACGATAAAGATCGCGTATCTTTTAAAATAATAAATTTAGTTAGTCCAACGTTAATTAAACGTATCGTTTTCTCTTTCTAATTGACTTTATTAATACGAGATAGCATCGTTATTAATAGTAATTTGCAAGTACCAGTTGAGTTTGCTGTGCTATGCCGGGGGCAATGATCGATGCACCTCAATGAAAACGTAATTATCAGATTGCTGGTAAACTGGCTTGGCATACAGTTACATTAGAGAGATTAGAATAGCAACGAGAAAATGTTACTTGCAAATTTGGATGTATTTCTGCGTTTGCACATGACTAATGTAATTATTAAATAGATATAGAGACAAAATAGTCAGAGATCGTTGATATCATTGATTAATTTAATACATCGTAAGAACATGTGACAAAGGATTATATTGTTGTGTGATGTTAAATTATTGCTTTTCAGTATTCATAATTCAACATTGGTTTCATATTAATTTCGAAAAACAAAGAAAGAAATACGATGTTTCCAAACATAAACAATTTTGTGGCTTAATTTCCTGTAGCTCACTGCACTGGCATTAATTTGATGGAATTGGGACGTAGAAGATTATTTGTATATTACGCATCGACTGCGGTTACATAATAGAGAAACACATGACTGTTAAAACGGTACGTTCGCATGCATTGTTAAAGCTGGAATGTTTATTTATTTATTATTGTAATTAATAACATATGTACCAAGCTTTATATTCGAAATCACGCCATAAAAGATCTAATCTTTTTTACATCGTGCTACGATTAATCATGCATTTCTGTAGATTTTAATATTTTTATTTGTTAGAGGTAATGCGCAACGAATTGGCATATAAACCGATAATATACAAATCTGATAGAATAATTTGACTAACTGAATAATCCTGCATCAAAACGAAATAATATATCGCTTTAAATACTTCCCACTAATCTGTTTGGCACGTTGCTCATAAATACTATTAATCACCGACTATTAATTGGAAGATTTGAAATAGCATTAATCCATATGAGGCAACAATTAGATTCTCTCGAAAGCACAGTTGGAAAGATCATCAATAGTATTCTATCTCGTTTTAAGACAAATTATTGAAAATACAATATCTGAAAAAGTAAGCGAATCTTTCTGATAAAAACTATTTTTGTATCTTATTGTTAGAGGTAAAAAATCATCTCCAATTTTTGTTAAAATAGAGTTAATAGATTTTTCAATATACCAGGAGCTTAAATTGTATAAATGGTAAAAGGTCTTATGTCTATTATTATTAGTTCCTAAAATACAATGTTTGAAAAAGTCGTATAGAACATTTTCGTAGTGCCCTAATTTTCAGGTTCAGCGTGTTATTGGCAGTTGAACTATTACAAATGTCAGTTAAATTACTTTATTAAAAACTCAATATAAATAAAGTTGCTACTTTCATTTTACATCTAACAAAAATGCACCATTTCCCTATTTAAAGCTTTAACCTTGTTTTCTCCGAATTCATAATAATAGATAAGATTCTTTACCTCTAAAATACTGATTTAAAGGATCTCATGCGGTTTATCTCACGTGAATAATCGTGTTATCTGTCGTTCAATTATATAGGAATAAAATTTTCTCCTTTTTTATAAAGATGTTCATAATAATTTTATGATTATTTTGTTCAAATACCTAACTATCGCATAGATATCTAATAGAATCAAAATAAGAAAACTATACTACGCAGGAAATAATGCAAAGAGACGAAGGGAGTTAATAGATTTTTCAATTCTGAATCAGCGTGCCCGTAACCCGTGTAGGCGTAAATGCATTTGCAAAATTACACCGACATAAATATATCATTTGTAGAATTACTCCATACTGAATCCATATACTGAATGTTGACATATAATATTTGAATGTAAATCATAAAGGCATAATTGTAAAATTGAGCAGGTACATCCAGTATAATATTGATTTTTAAAGAAGCAGACGCTCGTTAAGTATAAACACAGTCGAATATTTTTATAAATCATATAACATCCATTAATTGCTCGAATTTGGCCTCTCAACTCTTTCCAATATTAATTTCTTTTCAACAATTTCTCACCGAAATATCTGTTGCGTCTGAAGCCGGATTCAGGCCGAACAAACGAGCACGCACAAACATGAATGAATAAGTTGTTCACTGAAACAAATTGTTTCTTCGTGTTTGTTCGCGCTCGTTTACTCGATCTGGATCCGACTTAATTTTAAAATTACAAAAGGCACAGTGAAATTGTATTTTATTCAGAAGTATCTGCGGAGATGAATTAAAGCTGAGAACGTTCGACCGATTTGCAGAGTAAATCATGTGATAAATACTTCATCCTTCGGATTCATAAATCCTCGATTCCGTGCATGTTTTACTTCATTTAAATAAGGCACTGGATCAATATGTCATTTACGTTGTCTCAACACATAAAGCTTTATAGTTCGTGTGATGTTCGCGCTACAAAATGCATCGGAGTAAATATACGTTAACGTGGCTGCAGCAAATGCAAAAAGTATGAGATGACATATGAATAATTAGCGTGGAAAAATGATGGCGCAGCACGCTATTCAGATATATGACGAACGTGGTGGACGATTCGTGAATGGTGAACTATTTAAACCAACAGTAAAAAAAAAGAGTTAAAAGGGTTACTAGCAGAGATGATATTACCTCTGTATAATTGAACGCGATTTCGCTCCGTTAAAGTTGGCACGGTGGTGGTTGGTTGCCACCTTCTCCCTTCAGAATACGACTTCTCGGCGTTGGCTTCTATTGATTCACGCTGACTTGGTCCCACCGCAGGGCGAAGACGTAAGGTAATGCGATCAAGAAAAGGAAATAGAATACGTACTGTCGTCGCATGCACATTAACGGAGAAGCCACAGAGGCACGAAAATGGTCTTGGGCGTAACAGTATCCACACGGGAATTGCATTACTCTTTTACATGTAATTTACATAAGTAAAGCATAATTTGTATTTATATAAATATATATGAATATTTACGTAAATATAATCGTTGTCGTCGTAAGTCGTAATAATCGTTGCTTATAAAAGAAATTGTTCTTTCTCCAAGAAATTAGACTTAATTTTTAAACGTTGATGCGCTCAATAAAGTTGGCAATTTAGTCAGTTAAAAAGTGCGATAAAAATTGATATTTTTTATTTTGTATCAATTTTCAAACTTAAACAAGCATAAATTTTTTTTTACACGACGCATCGAAATAGAAAACGATTTGTTTGTTTCGTACATGGTTGACCCAGTTTATATTCTATGTGGAAAATTGTTCGTGTAAACACGAGCGTATACAATATGTATAGAAATCGCATAGAAGTAATTTCAAATTTTTCGATATCCTGATTGAAATGCTCGACAAATATTTATTGATCCATTTCAAGTAGCTATATGAAAAATATTTAAAATAGCAAGTGTTTGTGTGCATTTTTAATTAATATACATACAAACGTTTCCAAAATATTCAAAATGCTTCCAAAAATCGATTTTATAATAAAAATAAATCCGACACAAATAAAAAAAAGATATATGCTTTTACGAAAAATATATTTGATATAAGATACTTTCTCAGTTTCACTTTTCCATAATTAAATCTATCTGTGATAGAGAACCGAGAGGAGAGCGAGTTAATTAATTTCTTGTCGCGTGGACGTTTTCAGCTCGTCTGAAAATGCGTACCTCGTGCGACCTAACTGACTGATGAAGGCTTTTAAAAAGCATTTAGCAATGTCCCGTCTGAGTCTCTCTCATTCATTTCGCGGCATTCCAAACGACAGACGGTTCCTGGAGGGGATTTCGCGGTGTTTGACGGAAGAAATTCGTTTGCGGCTTGCCTTTCGTTTTTTCCTTCCCACTAACCCCGAAGCAGAAATTCACCGTGAAGAAGTAATAAAGAACCTGTCGAGAATTTGGTGGCCATTCTTCTTCATTGGAGTATACTCTATTTCCCGCGGTTCGCCACAATCTCTCGTAGTGATTTCGATATCGCAATGCTCTCTTTCTCTCACACATACACATACACACGCACGCACATTCTCTCTTCCTTGTTGCCATCTCACTATCCATAAGCTCTTATTTTATTCTCCGAGATAGATCAACCTTCTTTGATTCCTGAAGTGTTCTCGATATCTGTCCGCGTCTCCAACACAGACAGAAATACGTACATCTGAAATGATCGAAAGGGAAGTGACAGTTCGACGGAGGCGTGGTTACCCATCGTATTGGAGAAATTGATCGACTGCCGAGGACGTCTCATTAATCTATTGCCAATAACGCGCACGACACTTTAAAGGTGGAGACGATTGCGTCCCTATTTCAATCAGTTTCAATTACGTTATGATGCAAAGGTTAATCAATACTCGCGAAGTGCAATATAACATCTATTTAATATAATGAATAATAGTATTTCTCTCATTTACGTATAATTCTATACTTGACAAAACTATAAGCAAGCAAATTTAGTTATTATAATAATTTGATAAATAATTTCATTTTATATCAAAGAGACAATATTGTACGATCTGCAACCATGACAAAGATTTAGAACTTTGTTTCTTTTCTAAATTTTATAATGTATTGCTAAGTGACTAATAATAATCAGTGTGAGATTTGAAAACGAGAAAAATTTCGCGCGAAGCAAGGACACTTTTATTTTTGTACGTTCAAACGAATGCGAGAATGCCACGCGATTCTCGATATAAAGTTAAAGAAATACGTCGTTCCACCTCTTGACATAATTCTCTTTATCGTTGCAAGGTATCCACTTGTGATACTCTTGGAAGCCTCTGCTTTAAAGCTCCAACATAAAATTATTGTTACGATACGTACAATGCGAGCTTAGAAGAACGCGAAAGTGTAATAACCGCAGCTAGTACGTTACAATATAAACGAAATCCTTGTTACTGTAAGGAATATGAAAAGCAGTTGCTATTTCTGTAGCTAGAAGATTTGCATTGTTTATACAATGTTTATACTTTATTGCAACATGTACAATGTCCTTATTCAATTTTATGATTTAGACTATTTAGAGATGCTAATTTTAAAGTATATAATCTGATATCGATACTTGTACCGATATGCTTTCAACACGGATATATGTTAGCATATTTAAAAATATACGGAGTCATATAATATATAGATACACTTCGCATAAAACAAGTATTTCACATAAAAAAGAGTATTTTACACCATCTCGCATATTTCAAATACCATGATGTTCAACAAAGTTATACCCTGCCTGCTATTAAATAGATTGAGCAATGTAATGTAGATATTCAGTATCCTGTATAAGTGCTTGACCATTGCAGTTGAATTAATCTCTCATTCATCGGATAATGCTGTTTATTCGCGCTGCTAATGAATCGTATCATGAAGATGAAAATAAGACCGCACAAAAGATAATTTTCGTATAATTAGATTGAAACAGTTTAATAGACGAATCAAATTTGAGTTGATTCGATAATAGTGTAACTGCTGAAAATTAAGAAAAATTCGCAACAAAATAACAAAGTCGTTTGATAAATTCATCCAATTGATCGAATTTATCAGAATCAAATCAATTTCGTATATCTCAATTTGAAGATCGTCATTATATATAGAGGAGAGTTATCGAATGTACCACTTAAAAGTTATTTTTTATTATATTTCTTATTTAGTAGTGATTTATATGCAGATAAACATTGGAAATTGTAATTTGATGTTTCAGGCATCTATTATCACATTATTAGCTGTTTAACCTTTTATCAATAACAAATTAATTTGTTATAAGTCTTTTTTTAACGTGCTGCAAAAGATATGATTTAGGCAACCGGTCGCCTAAATCGTACCTGTGGGTCTTTTAAATCATATCTCCTTGAAAGTATCGAATTTATGAATGAAAATAATTAAAAATATAAGATTAATGAAAGGAATCACTAACTTATACCTATTTTATTAATTTATCAAAAAAAGAACTAAGAGTACCTATTTAATAATTAATCAATCACACTAATGAAAAGATAAAATAAGAATTGTCATGTTAACATAATCTAAATTATTATGTAACGTAGAGATGCGTACGCACGAGTTCCTAGATAGTAGCCAGCATGATATAGGAAATCTTATAATGGTACGATTTAGGAAACTTGGTAGATTTTATAAAAATATCGATTTAATCTTTATATCTAATAATTGCAAATATGTATATGTAAAGAATGTATAATATTCTACAATAAACCTTCTTTTATAAAAATATAAAAATTTATAATAAAATTGTATGATTACATTATTATATCAGCTATATAAATTAATCAAAAATTTACATCAGTGGTACCTGCATTTTTTAAATGTTAGCACACACACACAAAACAAAATGTAATCTATCAAATTTTTGTCCATATTACTCATTTTTTATTTATTTCATATTTTTGTTACTAAATGATTTTTTAAATGCTAGCACGCACAAAATAAAATGTAATCTGTTAAAATTTTGTCCATATTACTCATTTTTTATTTATTTCATATTTTTATTACTAAATGTTGCTTATATTAAGAAATAGATAATATGAAATATTGATGAAGTACGATTTAGGCGACCGGTACGCATTCATTACTCTGTTGGAAAATTTTTGTAGGTTTGTTAAAAAAGATCCTTGTTAAAATTTTTGTGTAAAATAATCAACACATACATGTGTAGATTTAACATATGCCTGCTATGTTAATTGAACTTAACAAATTTGAAATGTAAAATTATTAAAATAATTTAAAGAATATGTTAAAGTAACACAATTTAAATGTATTTATTAAATGTAGGCCGTTTAAGACATGCAATTTATGTTATATTTAACACAAATTTTCCAACAGTGTACATATCAATTTTCCTCAGTCTCGAAAGTCTGTCCGAATTTAAAAGTGAGATACTTTATCCTAAAATTATCCAACTTATTCTTTCAGTTTAACGGCAAAAACAGAGAAAAATTGTGAATCACGCTCGACAGATTTTTCAGTACAGTCTCGTCTTAATTGCGCCACTTCGTCCTGCAGAGATAAGAGTTGACGTTCGCGTTCGTTCGTTCGTTCGTTCTTTGCACAGACCGTCCAGAGAGGATTCGCTTACGGATTTTCGTTTAATACGCATTTGGCCTCGCGGGAGCGGAAGACCAGAAGTAGATCGCGAAAAGTTATCTTCCCACTTGCGTCTCTCGACCGACGAGAGCCTGCAGGCACCGACGCCGCCGCCGTTTCAATTGGGCGGCTCTTCAATAGAAAGCCGGGCTTTTCTGCTGTTTATCTGTCGGTGCCGTGCACACAGCCGTATTTGGCGGACAAAACGAAGAAGAAGGGGAGGGGGAGGGAGGCTAAGCTGTATCGAGCGCGAGAAACAGCTTATTTGGCATCGTCGGCGCCCGGGAATTCACTTCGTTCTCAAATAAAATGCCACTCACCACGTCGCCGGGGCGAATTGCACGATGCGCGGACGAACCTGTCCCCCGATGAAGCTTGGTGAACCGCACGCACGTAAGCTGCACGGCGAAAAGCGTGCGCAGCTTCGTCGGATACCTGTTGACGCCCGGTGAGACGATCGCGTGGAGATAAGGGGGGCCGTCACCGGGAACGAATTACTGTCCCCTCGAGCGAAAGATGTCGAAGTGCACTGGGATAGTTCACTCATAAGAGATATGAAACAAGCTCTAGCTTTAGTACTTTCTCTCCGTAGAGAAATTAGCGTTTATCGTTCGGCACTTGGATCATCAAGATATGCGATATATGTGTCGCGGTGGAATTTCTATTC